TTTCTACATAAAGTGGATCATATATAGCCTGGGTGTCATCCTACTCCTTTGCCATGGCTTTCATACTGACTGACCCTAAAAAGTATTCCAGAGAAAAATTATTGGAACCATGACAAATAAATAGGATGGCACCCATTCTACATCATCTAGGTTAATCTCCAAATAATGAGTCACCTGAACTGGCCATGTTCCTCCCCTTGCTGAACAGACTGTCATCTGTGTTCCTTTGAATGGAACATCAATACATGATTAATGACCAAACCACATGCCCCATCACTGCCTCAAGGAATGTTCACTTTAATCAAAGGTTTTGACCCTTTTGATGAACCATTTTCATCCCAGGGCGTGTGTGGAATATTCTGACAATCCTGGCAAGCTAAACTTAAAGTCCATTTGTAGGGGACTATGGGTCAGCTGAAATGCGTGCAGATCTTGGGAATTAAATGACTTACATTTTTTAGACGTTTTAGGAATAAATGATCCAAAAAGTACGTCACATCCATAAAATTATCACTGTCAGGTCAACCTGAATGTAGTATCATACATGTATATCAATTTCTTTTGTAGAATATCATAGAACATCGTAAAAGCAACTACCACATACTTTAACTGTCCCGTCTCTGGAAAGGGATCATAAAACATTTTTAGCATGTCCATTATCTTTTTAACAGTCAGGCTGCAATAGGCCTACTGGCTGGGTAGTTTCTTGTTCAACTGAAAGTTTCAAGCGAGACCATCGTAAAAATTCAGAATTTATGAATCAGGCAATCATGAGAAATTATGCAATTCTTTATGACAGCCTCAGGGTAATAGTATTGATTTACTCATGTTCACTTAAGTTGGTATAATATCCAGTAAAATTGACTGCTTCAGGCAGCAGTCTACTTCACCCAATATTTATAATTCAGGACGTGTGTGCAACAGACCTGATACAAGGATTGGTTTTACCACTGACATGCACTGATAGAAGTTACCCGATAGTTCCGACCCATAGGACCGGGTTATCCATATATCCTTCCTTGGGAGCACATTATCCTCCAAATCTGTCAGGAACCGATACTTTGCTCATTTCATTCTCCCCGAGCAGTAAAAGGTGTTGAGGGAAACTTTACGTGCCTTCTAAGTACATCCTGGTGCGTCAGGCAGACTTTAAAGATTCTGCGGAATGTGTCTGATCAAAGAGTGGAGTTCTTAGTGTGCATTCTGGTGTGCCGAGCTCAAAAGGGTGATGGGCAAGTGCGTCACATTCTGTGATCTCATTCTCTAATGCTCAACACTTCAAAGTTCCCTCAGGCACCATTACAGAGTGGGAAAAGGCCTGTCCACTCACATTCTGATTTAAGTCTGAAGTAATCATGACCTTTATTCTACTGGTGGGATGATAGAAAATGGAAATCTTACTCGTACAAGTTACGTATGCCGTGTAATAAACCTGTGTATCTCTTTGTGGAAATAATATGGTAAAATGTTACTGGATATATTTTCATTTCATCATCAGAAGCTGTAGGTAAGGACACCCCCAGGACCTGTAAATTCTTTTAAAAACTAAATAACAGACATTTAAAAATGTGCTAAACAGATTTTACTGGTTTCTATTTTACATGTGGTTCCTATGATAATGAAGAATTCTTCACTGCAGTCAGTGCTTGATTACAGGAAGAGAATACCGGATGCCACAGGCACAGAATTGTGGGACGCCGGCCTTTGCTGCCGTTTCGATCGACCCATCCTGACCTAAATCATGGGCTGTGATAAACAGACCAACCTGAGTGCACATTATAACAACAAGATTGATGGAGTCTTCCTGATGATTTGCATATTACTGCTAGGAGATGTTTAAAGGGATCACAGATCGTGACCAGATTTGATACCTGTCATATAACGTTAAAGTACTGGGTCAAACATAATATCTATGACCTTACGGCAGTGTATTACAATATTAACATTTGCAGGGCTGCAAGTTGGTAGGAATTTATCTTCAGCAAGACTCATTTCTGCAGATTGATCCATATTTATGTTGACTGTTATACATGTTTCACTTAAGATAACCATCTAATTTGTCAACTTAGTGAAACACTTGACATATTGTTTGATAAACTTACAGTGATAGATTTGTAAGACTTCATTCATTAAATATCTGTTTAAAAAGTTCATTGTATCTTGAAGATACATGATGGCAATGGTTTCTGAACAGTTTGCAGTGGTGTAGAAAACATTTTTTCTGGTACAGGTAATTTTCAATGTTACCTACACCAGTGCATAGTATTGCCCCGGTGCTGCTATTTTTATCTGTGAGACTGGAAATGTTCCAAAGCTGTATAGGTAACAGGATTAAGTCTGCCATCTCTGATTGCCTTGTGTAATGAAGAAACATTATTTGATTCTAATAGGAACGGCCAGATCCTTTTGCATGCAGCTGGTTTTCTCATGCAGAGAAGAATCAGTCATGAACATGTGACAGGATTCCATTGTTAAGGCTTTGAGTTCTGAAAGTAAATGATAGCCATTTAGACAGAACACGTCATAAGGTATTCTTCATGTGCATCCAAGCAGCACTGACTGATCGTTACAGTTGGATCAAAGTCTGCTTCCAACGTCCCAGTGCTTTGATGTTTTAATGCCTATTGATTGGATAACGTAGCAGTCAGGCTCAAAAGTGGTAGCGCTATGCTTGGAGAGATAGCGGCTAACAGGGATAGCCAATGGTTGTTACCAAGTGTGAAACACTGTAGTTCCTTCTGTCTGTGTGGGTGTTGTCTGATTGATATGTGCGTAGGTTAGTACAGAGTTGTGTATCGATTACTGCAGCAGCTGTAATGGTTATTATGCAAGCATTTTGCAGCTAAAATTGGTACTTTGTGTATCTGTACCCATTTTCAGCCAGCTGTGCACTATCCTTGACCTACATGATTAATAATGGGATGATTGTCATGATGTCCAATAATACGAGCATCGTTCAGCACCAAGGACAGACCCACCCCACATCCTGTCTACCCTTGTGCAAACTGATAATGGTACGGTCCATTCAATCCTGCACAATGTATATTTGACTGAATTGATCAGATGTTTTGAATGAGTCAAAGAAAATTTCAAAACTAAGGAACAATTTGACACTCTTTTGTCTATGCTGACATTAGGGTTGATATGAGAAGTACAACAGTACAGCAGTCATCCTCATTTGTGGAGAAGCATGATGCTTTTTCCAGTAGCTACTGGTAGTTAAAAGTACTGAGTTGTAGCTGTCTTGCATGCTCACTGTCTCCATCTCAGGTAACCATAATGAATGAAACACTCTTAAATTTGCCTATTTATGAGCATGCTTGAATGCAAACAAAATGATCCAATTTGACTTTGAAAACAGGTTTCAAAGCTCCCAAGCCTATTTTCCTTAGTGGCCACTAGGTAACTCTGACCTCATTTCAGCAGTCCATAACCAAATTGCCCACGGCTCAATACTCCACCTACCCATTCTCATATGTGATTCTCTATGAGTCATTGGCTGTGTTGCCAGTTCTCTTAACCGAATATGACCACTTCACACGATAACGTTCAAAGCCAGTAACCTACATATTGTCCATTAATCGCCACAGCCAATCTTTCTTATTCCCTGTGAGAAACTGCAGGTTTGCCAGTTGTGGCGCCCTTGGGAAATTTATGCAAGACTCCTATTGAATGATCACCTCTCAACTGATACACGTTGTAGGTGTCACCCAGGGAAATTAGGGTCAATGGCTATACGTGAAGAGACCTACTGGAATCAAATTCTGTGGCGCAATTCAATATCCGAAGAAGCCAATGGTGTCAAGCTAGTGGATGTGATATACCACAGGTCTTATTTCCTTGTATCCATTACCCTTGAAGACAGGGTTCTAAGACATGAAAGCTGGAGATGGTGTACTTGAGATGGCGACAGTGCTTGGACGGTTTCCATCATTGATGGAAGATATGTTCACCCACACTATATATTCTACATTACATGTATATCCTAAATTGATAGGAATTACTTGTACATGCAAAAAAGTTTGCCTGCTAGTAGTTGAAGATCTAGAGTTTCTCTCTATTCTTCAAATCTAATCTTGAAATCTTGAAACTTTCCTCAAAGTAGAACTGGAACTACACAAATTTTCTGGTGGCCCTCAATTAAGCTTGGAACTCCAACAGGCTTAATTGATTGACTGTTTCTCATGGTCAGTTTGCATGCTGACTACACCATGGCTTACAGACTTCTATTCATGACTAGTCTGAAGCATGTAGAGACTGTGCCACTATGACTTCCTCAGTCACCTTCAGCCCCAAGCAAGTCATTGGACTTTCTACTCTTCTAATGAAGTATGCTGTTTTCATCAGGCTAGTTGGGTAGTGTCCAGTGTTTGATATATAAGACTTGCTTGGTCAGTTGTCCCACTTGTAGGTTTCTTACCTACCATTCTTACCCACCATATAACTACTGGGTTGCTTCTACTTGGTAATCAAATTTCTCAGTTTGTTGACGTGACTGTGGTCAAATTTTCTCATTCACCACCATACCTTAGGTCTATTCTTCTACAGTAGATATAATTGAAATGGCACCTTTGTCCTGTAATGGAGTGACTGGCAGCTTAAGTTGAAATGGATTTTTGTTCAAACTTTGCCATGGTGACTACATTTTCAGTATAATTGTCTCTTGTATATTTATCCAGGAGCCAGAAAACTTGGGTACCCACCCACATGTGACTACACCCACGTGTGACCCCACCAGTCTCCATATCTTCTCATCATGGTATTGTCCCCTGAGAGACCCCAAAGTTGGGGCCAATAGATTGCTTCAGTCAGTCAGATCCAGACATATAACCCGCTCAATTAAATCTCGGGACATAGAGATAGAGACATGGCTGGCCAAGGAGGAAATTGGAAGTAGTTTCAATGAACGTAATGTTGATTTCTTTCAAGAAGCTTCCAAACTTTAATGGCAGGAAATGGAGGCTGTTTTCATCAGGGTTAATTCTACTTTCTTTTTTAAAATGGCATCACAGGACTACTGGGTAAATTTATGACTCTCCAAGCAGAGGTTGAATGAGGAGATGCAGATAATTAGGGCCCAAAACTCCACCGTTCTATTGGCATATCTAGTGCAGACAGGCCAATCATTATTGTACATCTACAAAGTGCAAAGTTGCAGCCCTGTACTGGTACATGCACATGTAATAAAAAATAATTTTATGAATTGCCCTCCTATATGCCATGGTTCTAATGGAAGATTGTATTACGTTTGCAAGCAATCGGTTTAAGGCTTAGACCTCACAGAAGGTCAAATTGTTTCATGTTTGGCATCTTCCCAACTTCCAAGTAGAATCCATTCTAAGCCCTGAGGAAATCGGTCAACTTTTTATGGTGCAAATTTAAAGAAGTGTGACCAATTGTTACTTGGAAAGATCATAACTATCGTTCACAGGAAAAGCCCGCTGCATATATCCATCTATATGTTATCTATCAGCTCAAGAGCACCACAACTGCAAATGGTAGTTGGCCTAATTCAGGCTTTACTCAATGTGCAGTAGGGTCTGTCTGCCACGGGGCTGAACTCATTGATTTTCTCCCATCCAGGTCAATAAGTAAGTCCAAAATTACAGACTGGAAGTTATGATATTGGTAAAGCTGGAGAGGGAGGTTTTTTTTTTTGGCAATGTCATGTTGACAGGAAACAGCCCTGCCAAGCATTTAAGCTGATTCCAGCAGTATCAGAAAAAGGCTGTGATTTGATAATTGTGTTGTTGTGTTATCTGAAATTAAAGCACACTTCTGGTTATGATCATAATATTTGTCATAAAATTCCACGTGATTCACATTGGATACATGATGCTCCTTTGGTAAAATAACCAAATTGAATGTCTAATACATGTACCAGAATATATTTGCTACGAACAGGAAGCAATACGAACAGGAAGCAAAATGAAAACAAAATGACATTCTTTGATGTAGAGCTACATGTATGCCATAGCTATGTGTACAATTTGTCACATGAAGGATGCACGCACCTGAGAGTATATGTCATTTATCACATGAGTGGCAGTCATCGTACGAATGTACATGAAACCATTCTCCTGTCTTCACTCCAAATTGCTTCCTGAGTTAGGTGTGACTTGGGTACTGAATTCACTCCTGTGAGTACCCAGAGCAGAAAAAAAGAAAAAAAATAACCAGGAAATATTTGATAATTGATGTGTGATCTTAGGAAAGTGCCAAGGGAATGAACTTATTTGCTGTTTTGTACCCACAGATATCTTGCTTTCTAAAATTCTGGTGGGGTACATAACCGAAATGTTCTTACTAAGCCACCTTCTCAGCTTCTTTCCATTTGCTAAAATCTGGTGGGCGGCTAGGTGTCAAGGTCATACAGAAGGTTTAAGGTCAGCTTTCAGTTTCTTAAAGCGTAAAAGTATAGTTGAAAGATGTTGACTACACACAGTGGCTCTCACAGTCTATTGGACACTTGAGGTTTCCTGACAAGTAGCAGACTAGTGTACTTTCTCCATGGAGAAAAGTATAATAATAATCAACACCAATGTACATCTGAGGAAATAGTAGACCTGCTTGTGCACCTTCCATTCACTTGTTTATCCTTTCTGACTGGAAGAAATATAAGGGGATGATTCGTCCATCAAGTATTGAAGGGAGAAGATCTCGTGATGGATGACCATCATTCCAAAGTAGACATTAGAGACCACCACAGTGGATGGAATGTCCCAGTTCTTTTATGTAACGGCAAGAGTGTAAATGTACCATTGCAGCAGATGCCATTTCCAGGAAATACTGTCTAGTAGAAGTAAATTCTCTGGAAGAGGCAGGGCTTCAACGAACCATCTTATCTAAGTCGGCAGTTTTCTTTCAAATTGTAAAGTTTTGAAGGAATAATTCCAACTAATCAGATTACTGTAGCCTCACTTAATGAATGTGTTCTTTTAAACAATTTTCTGTTTTGATAGTAATAGTATGAGAGCCAAAATTTCATATGTGTGGTATAATACATTTGTTAGCCCACAAATGCTGACCTTGTCTGTAAAGGTGAAATGCATTGAACTAAGCTGTCATCAAGGAGACCACCATAGCCATTAATAAGGATGGGCTACTTTGTGTAGAATACTGGACACAAGAATTCCTGTCTGGTATATATGTTGCTATTTCTGGGAAAATCTTATTCTATCTCCAAAGATAAGCGAGAAAAGTAGATATATTATAACCACCTCCACCCCAACCCCTCTGCACCATTAGAGCTGTTGATGGTTTCATCCATCTTGTCCGGTGTTCACATACTTCACTGCTCCCCATCGCTCCTTAGGACGGTGTGTCCTCAGAGACTCAGCTGCCATGTTTGCCCCCAGACAGCAGTGTACAGTTATAAAATAAACAACTTCTGAATCAGCTGATGCAAATGTAAGTCTTTATACAGATGTATCAAACACAGCCTTACTTTTTTAAAATAAGGCTTTGGGTACAATTTATTACTCTAGAATGAACAACAGATATAAAAGTAGAATCTTGGAGCTTCACCATTGTTGTTTTTCATTAGTGTAACATTCTTCAGATAAAAATAGTGACATACATGTATGCTTCTCTCAAATTTGTTCCCAACATCCCACAAGCAGGAGAGAGAAAAGCCAAGTCAGCATTAGCAACGTAAATGCACCACACTACCACACAGGTGTGCACTGGAGTGTGTGTGCCAAGGAAATAATTGTCTCTGCAATTTAATCTGTAAAATCAATATGAGTGTCACTTCCAATTTTACAGCCACCCTCTCCAGACTATATCTAATTCAATCAGCACCCACAACAACCCCTTACACCTTTTTCTATCAGTTTCTTCTAAAACTTTTGATGATAGCCACATACAAATAATTCATGTATGTCAAAAGCACATTCAAGGCTGTTTGGATTGAGGTATACCTTATACATATTGTATGACAAGGTTAGGTCAAGGCTCAGCCAACTCACCTCCCATTTAGCTGTTTACTATACTGTAGACTCTCTTACTCAATAAGAACTTATAGATGTTTTTCTGTTGTGATTTAATATTGAAGGTTGCTTTGTCTATGTGGCAACCACAGACGGTTTGAGACCATGAAGAAGTAGGATAAATGGTATGATGTCTCCCTAAATGTCAGCTGTTACTGTATAGACAGGCCGTCGCCGGGTGGAATCAGAATATATCTATCCCCGTCTCAGGAAGAATAAAAGTTAAGTATTTTGCCAATGCGGCGGATACAATAGCTTAATTCAATGTCATTGCTGAAGGTTGTAGACAGAGGAAATATATCATGGATATCGTGCAGTTGGAGCATAAGATTCAGAATAGACTGCAATGCATTTAGAGAGATGGATATTTCATCTTCGCACAATGTTCATTTTGAATTTTCCATTTTGCCTATAAGCTTAACAGCCAAGGTCCAAGGCTCCATCCAGTTCAAAATTTTCCAACAGTTTATGTTGACTAGCCTTGGTACTAAAACTGTGGTAGTTATTGACTAAGCCCCCATAGCAGCTCCTGTCAAAGAGAAAATTTCTCATTATTATTTCAGACTGCTGTGTAGTACAATTTTCTCTGGAGAATTGCTTAGGGGAGCAACTGTGATCAATGATTATTGGCTGCCACAGTCAAAATTATATGCAAATTTCATCAGGCAAAGTGGACTAGTTGTCCCCGCAGTCTGACAGCAACATGGTATTGACTAGGATTGTAGGGCAGAGTCAACCCAGTTGGTTGTTTCTCATAATTGTTTTTTCTAGCAAAAAGACATCATCCTTCAGACATACTTAAGGTAATATGTTGAATCCAGTAATTTATAACATCATCAATGCATTAATTTTTACCTAAATTTAGGTCTGTTTTCTTTCTTAAGAAATGAAAAGGGGATATTGGTTTTATCTTGGCATTGCTTTTCACATGCATCTGTTGTGTCACAAAATTAGCTAAAAGTCGTAACCCCATGAAATCTATGTATCTTCTAGTCTTATTTGTACGTGTGTCCTTGTATGATAATTTCCTTTAGTCATAACAAAAAGGAACTAATCATATTTGACTGTGCCCAGTCATAGGCTAGAGGTACTACATCTTGCACACACCCTATACCAGTAGTTACAGATGTAATTAGAGAATATTGATGTAATCAATGATTGACAATAGTTATCTGGTCAACTCCAAACCCTTTTTCTGCCCCAACTCCTCTAATTTTCCTCTGGACCAAATGACAGACTGGCACGTCTCTTCAGCAGCCCTCATCCCATGCCTGGTCGATTTCTTTCATTTTTTCTCTCTTTAAAATGATGGTGTCACTAAAGACTATTAACCTCCCTGAGGATGGAACCCTCCAGATGTTCCCTGGGCTTCATCAAAACAATTCCATGTCTGACTTATACAGACTGCTGTGTGTTTGTTGTTGGTTTGAAAATCTGAGGTGTTTTTGCCTAATGCCAAATAAAATCTGAAGTATCAAGGACAACCTCCGTGGAAGTACATTGTAGTCTGTTTAAGCTAAGTATATGCAGGGGTATACATTTATGTAAGCTTTGTATTTAGCAGTTTGTATGTATGTAATAGTCTAGCAATTTTAGTAGCCTTTGTATGCCTTCACTACCTGATAATTTGTCCTAAATAGTTCTCTGATCTGATCTAATTATTAATTATTCATTCATTCTCAATTCTTTTAGTCTGTACTTGTTTGTAAATCTGCTATATGTTTTATATATTTGTATTGTTTAACAAACCCTGGAAGATTAGCCCCATAAAGCGGCTAAAGCGGGTATATTAATAAACATAAGCTTACTTAACATAAACTTGACAACATAGAATGTAACAAATATCAAGGGCTGCTCTTTGAAATGTCAGGATCGAGGATTTAGCCTTTTATCCCATTACCATCTTGGTGGCTGTTAAACTCTCCTTGACCCCAGTATACTGTTCTGATCATAAGGAAAATTGTGTTGTACCCGGTAAAAAGCTTAGTATCATGTTAAACCATACAAGAAGAATACGGTGATTACAAAAGATAGTCGTAATTTTTTTTCAGATTTTTAGTTGTGTTGAAAACAAAGATATATAGTAAAGAATCTTGTAAAGGCTTGCCAATCTCATTTAGCCAACAGTAGATGTGACATGTTTACCAAAATAAGAAGACTAGTACTCCATGAATTATTAAGAACATTTGAGGATTAGGAGTGAAGAGTACAATTACCATACACACTGATGATTGTGTAATTGCTAACCTTTTACATGTATCCAGTTGTGCTGTGCACTGGATACAGTGTCTTATTCTGGCAGATTTGGCAGCTGTGTTCTGACAAATATGCAAAGTGTAGAACAAACTATAAAAATCAAAGAGCAAATTCTTTTCTTACAATAAGTTACATCCAACCATGAGATTTGTACACACCTGCTAGTTAAATCCAATCCCCAAGATTTCAGTCACATTTATGTACCACCACTGCCGGCTACCTTAATGGACATTTTTAGGGCCGGAATTTGTGCCAGCTGCTGAACAAGAATTGATTTTTGCTGCTAGCCTCATAAGTATGCATCAAAGTACATGAGATCTGTAGTTATGGTTTCCTGGTGCAGATAGAAGAGATGCTAATCGCACTTCCTACCACTGAATGCATCTGATCTTTTGGGGGCAGTATAGGGTATAGGGTATCAGACAGTGGCCATCTACCACAAAACAATGCAAAATGTATCAGTATATTTTCCAGAGGCCAATGCTCTAGACATTTTCCATGTCTTCCAAATGAGTCTCTTTTCCGATGGTGAGGGCAGAACGTTTAATCTGAGCAGATGGTGTATAGGTTTTCCCCGGTGCATTAGCTGATTGGCCCTCTATGTCACTTGATCAATATCCCATCACCTACATGTGGGCCTGGCCTAGATGATTGCCGTGTGGAAGGAGTGGCAATAGAGAGGACTCACATGTGAACACTGTCTTTACCCTTTGTTGCTCTGTCATTCCAGCAGACTAAAGCGCAATGAAAGCTGATATATTTTTATTTTGTCATTTATTTAGAAACTTTTTGAAATGTCTAGTATATACATTGCAAACATTTTTAAAATCATCATCAAAACCTATCATCCATTCTGATGGTATTGAAGTGTAGTGCATGTGCAAACCTATTCCAAGAAGCAAACTTTAACATCATGATAAGTACTTGTCAAGTCAAAGCATTTCTTTTCAGATAACCTTGTCACAACATTTCTAGTTGGATGATCATTGCAATACACACCTGTGATGAGATCTGCCTTACAGCATGCCCAGGGATTTCTTAATGCCAATGGGTCAAACCCCAGTGTATTTCCCCTCAGAAACACACTGACCTGTGTATGAATGTACCGACCACCATTGCCAAGATGAATGTCCTTTTAACAACACTCCAGATAAGAATCTTTTTTTTAGATGAAGAGTAAGTCTGCCTACTAGTAGCTGAGTGAGCAATGCTATACATACCTGTGATGAAATCTACCTTATAGGTCAAATGTCAGTATATTCCCCCTCAGAAACATACTGACTGTGTATGAATGTACCGACTACCCTTGCCAAGATAAATGTCCTTTTAAAAACACTCCAGATAAGAAACTTTTTAGATGAAGAGTACTTCTGGCATGTTTTTCTGGCCTCCTTGAGATTGTGTGGTCAAGGTGACAAATGTACCTGTCTGACCCCCATCTGCTGAACGATTGGACAAGTGACCTCCGTGACCCTAGACTCCCCTAGCTGGCACGTCCAAGATGTCTGGCAGTACAGATCTTGATATAAGTTTTATGACTGTGGTTATTTACAGCAAAATGAGGCAATCAACGAGTCATGTTATTTCAATAATGGAGCAATGGAGGTCATAATAGTGTGATTCAAGGTCAAGTTGTGGGGTTGCATATCAAAGAGGTCTCAGAGTATTGCACACATGTGGATTTGCTGTCTCACTTGTTGTACTTGAGTAAGTTGGGAAATAAATCTACAATCCTTGTAGTAAAGAATACCAGCACATTAAAGATCAGACTCTGACAAAAGATTTCCTAGATTTACACTGAACAATATTTTGTTTTAGCAGGCTTGTTGTAGAGAGACTTATTTCAGTCAAATGTTTCCAAGTATTAGTGGAGATAGTTGTGACTAGATTATACCACCAGTGGAACTTACACATATTCACAGGTGTTTACATTATATTTTTAAATATTGAAGAATTAACAAAATGTAAGATTTATTTAAAGTTGTAAATAATATCATTCTAACTTGCATTTACCACAGATTATCTTGAAGACCTCTAATGGCTGAAAACTCTGCAATTAGTAAGACCAAAGGCTCTTCTCTAGTCACATAGAGATTTTGAACACAGAGGCATAAAATGATGGTTCGAAGGTACATGTATATAATTGTAGTCCCCTTCCCCCATCTATACAACTAGAGTTTTTTCCTTTAACCATGCAACTTGCTATATCTTGCCCAACTATCTTGTGTAATTTGGAACATCCCATTTATAAAATCATGTCATATTACCACCCCTTAGTCATGTGCATTTATCTGTAATAAACAATTATCAAAGCCATTTACGCTGATAATATTTCATATTGAAGTCCTTTTCCCTCTTTGTAGAATTCTGGTCACATCTGCAGTCCATAATCAAAGATTAGACATTATTGATTTTCAATACATTCACATTTCCCCATTTTGCGTTTATAGAACAGGATGTTGGAGACTTGTAATGTAACCACTACGTAACATACTGGAACAGAGGTTGTAATCTCTGCAGCTAATTCCTTCATTCAGACAAACGCTAAGGAAAAACTGAATGCAGAAAGGTTCAGGATGACAAGTATTTATAGCTGTGACGCAAATGGTGTTTGCTATTCATGGGGAAAGTGTGGTTAACCGTGACAAGAATGCCCTTGGGAGGCGATGCAAGGAATCAGCTCTAAGAGGACCCCTTAGGGAGATGGGCTATACATTATATGTAATCAGTACAACGTTAAGTATTTCCTCAACGGAGGATTGGTTGCCAAGAGGTTTCCCCAAAAGAGTCAAGCTGTGGATTGCCAAGTTGTTAAGTCATCCTGTATGCTAATCCGTAATAAGTAGCATCAAGCTGTGCTTGGCAGAGGCTGAGGAGACAGTTATCAAGAGGCCTGCTCTCACAAAGGGCAAATTCACTTTGTGGTGATCGATAGTATTCACAGGAGAGGCCTCTTTACTGAATGGTCAGACCAGCATGAAGGAAACTGGTGGATAAGTAGATATGTAGGAAACTGCTCTGTGGGAGAGCCATTTGCTACTCTGTCAATGGGAAAGTTGCAGTTACACTTACTTATTGAAATTTCTGTACAGCAGTGTGGGGGTGTTGTAGTTGTGGGGGAAATACCTATTGGTTCTGGTACACAACTTCAAATATTCCAGCCTGTTCTCAGTATTCTCTGGTAATTTGCAGTCATTCTGAATCATTCACAGCTTTTTGATACAGGTTTCTTAAAACACATTCATTTTTGTCAAGATTGTTCAATGCATCGCACTAGTATGCAAATTCTCCCATTTTCCTTGAAGAAACATTACTCCATAAATGACCTCTATTAACATTTGTCTTCCAGGTTAAATATATCTGCCATTTTGAAATGCATTGTGTGTGTGTGAGATCTGTTGTGCATCACCCTCCAGGTATGCATGGCTTAGATATGCAGGGATATTGCGCTGGAGATCTCTCTAGACAAACACTTTTTTCAGGTTGGCAGAAATGTGTGACCTGACAGAATTACATTAGTAGACATTAGAATCCTCAAAGCTTCTTTGCAAGTAACCAAATAATAGCATTAAATGGTTAGATAATAGTTTGAAACAACTTTTATATGTATCCGTGAATAGTTTCATGAAAGTAGTTGGTAGGTCACTGAATAAAGAGATTCTTCTAACACAACCAAATACTTTGTGTGTGGGATTGCAGCAACACCTGTGCTGAGCAATGTGAACCAGATGGTCACTAAAACGTCAGATGAATAAACCTCTTGGTTGTGTAAAAGAGCCTCTTTATTCAACTTTAACTTGTAGTTTGCAGACCTTGAATTCATCCTCCACATGTCTACTCAAGACAGGAAGTGTCTGACCAAATTTCCCTGTTGTCCCTGTACAGTTTAGGATAAGAGACTACTTCCATGTGGGTGAGGTCAGTAACTTGATCTGCCTGGTGGCCATGATCATTGGAATCACGCTGGTGGAGATCTTCAAAAACGACCCTAGGGTACCACAGCACGGTGAGATGTCTACATTGTCTCAGAGGCTGAAATAGGGTTTTCAGGATCCTAAGGAACTGTGTTGTACACTTCCTTCATGTAAATGTTCTAAAGCCATTTGTCAGTAGCCTCCTTTAGCAGACTTCTTGGAGTGTTGGCGTTTATTTTTTGGGAGTGCGAAGGGAGTTATGCAGCAAAGGACTTCTTTGTCAGACCCTTGAAGAAGAAGCTATGACATGCTATAAGATTCAGAATGAACATCAGATTCTGCTCTGCCTGCAAATTATGATACATCTACTATATTGCCTAGCGTCAGCTCTTGATAGTAATCTTTTCCCATCCTGAATGGGAAAGTTTTTACCTATTACGTTGCTAACTTGACCTTGGTGCTGAAAGTGTTGCTGTTGTTGCAGCTATGAACTTCCTGCAGGTGTTCCGAGCCATGGGGCTGTTCAGTGTGTCAGGAGGGGTCACCAACTGGCTGGCCGTCAAGATGCTGTTTGACAGAATACCTGGGCTCATCGGCAGGTCAGAAAAACTGGTTGCTCACTTTATATATCGTTTATCGCTTTGCAGACAAACGTGGCATCATTAAGGAAAATTGGAGATTGTCTGTTACCATGAAGCTTTTTTTTCCAGATTGAACAGCTTGAACAATTTTTTATGTGGGTTGGAATGGATGTGGGCTTGACTGTGCATGAACACCACCTGGCAGTCTGACAGAGAATTGCAAATCATGCAGTAGCCTTTAATGTAATAGTTTGTTCAATGTTCTTTTCCTTGCAGTGGAGTCATCACCTCACAGTTCAAGGAGATCAGACAAACAGTGAAGAACGTTGTACTGGAGACCTTCTTTGAAACAGAGTACCTTGAAAATTACATGCATCGGAAGAGTGGAGAATTCCTAGCTGCTTTTCAAATAGGTGGGTACAATGTATGTAGGATGTCTTTAACATTATTGATACATGCCTGAAAATTCAAACTCTTCTTTGCTTTGTCTTTATAGGACCATTTCATTGTGATTTGTTTTTTGCAGTGTGAAATTTGTATCAGTTACCACCCTCCTTAAGTTTAATCAAACATAGACCTTCTGTTACTCCTTGGTTGTGATTTATTTAGTGTTATAGCAGTTTACCTTCTTTAATTTCCTTCTGCCCTTTTTTGTGATTAGTAGTAATTTGTTTAGTTCTGTATATGTTGGATTGATTATCTTTTTTCTGTTCTATGTGTTTGTATTACACATGTAGCTCCAAAAGAAGCACTTTCAGTGCAAAATGTGGGAACCTGATGGTGCATCCCAATGGTTAGTTGGGTCTCTGTTCATGCTATTTGGCTGATAGACAATGTTTCAATATATTTGTACTGACTATATACTAGTAAATGACTTCTGCCTAATATCATAGAATGCTGTAGCAATGATTTAGTAATATGTCTTATGATGTTATGTCATATTGGATGTCTCCACTATTTGCTAGATAATAATGGTGGGAGATTCCATCATAAAGTAGTACGCTAAGAAAAATTTTATGATGTATAAGAATTATATGAAATATAATGTTACATGCAAAATTAGACACAATGTACAAACACAATGTACATACCATGAGACTTACATGATTTGCATTCAAGCTCAAATTTTGTGGAAGGCAGTAAACATTACGAATAGATTTGTCTCAATGTTTTGTTACTTCACATCTGGTGTGTTACGCCGAGGGGAAGTTATACTGGCTATACAGATACAGATTCGTAGTTTATAGCACGGTGTTCTGTACTAAATCATCCAATGTTTTTCAGAGAGTAAATTGCAGAGATTACTGCAGTCAGAACGAGTCATGCAGATCATAGACAACCAAGTCCAGAAGCTCTACAAAAAGCCAGAAGGTATATACTAATGTTTCCATCACAGGGTGCTGAAACTACCTGAAATGTTTCTATAATCCTATGAAATCTTTACCAGCCCAATACACAAACTTTAAAATCTTACTCTGTGTAGCCATAGTGCAATCATGCTTTGTAAAACTGTCATGTGCTATCCTGATCTCATAACAACATGCAGATACATATCTTTCTCTTGAATCTTTGGACATGTACATTGCCCATAACATTGTCTATTTATATTGTAATCTATTGATACTGGTATTTAAATGCTCCCTATCAACGTCCTACTACCCAACTTCTTACTCAAACCTATTGCCTTGTTTCCTGGCCACAAGGAATTTTCCGTCGCACAACTAGCACAGGTAAAATGTTGAGAGCAGTCTTTGTCCCATTGTTTTCTTAAATTCTATATAACAGCCTACTAGTCTTTATTAAGAATGAAAAATACTGTCAACAGACACTGATTTCCACTGTATATGTATGATTGTCTCTCCTTAAAAGTATGTATATGCTAACTTCTGTTGCCATTCAGTTAAGAGTTGTTTTCAAGCCTTGTTTTATCATCCCCCTCCCCCCAGGAATGATGCTGGCCATGATGGGGGTTGATGCTGGTAAACTCAGTAAAATGATCCAGCCCCTGATGAAGGGCCTCAGCAGAGACATGACTCCAGTGGTGAGTGATGATGCATGAGAAGACCTAAAAAACTTACTAAAGACAGTAACTGTCCACGTATAGCCTTAAGACAACCAAGTACTTGTATCTTTTCAGGACAAAAAGAGGAAAAATTACAGTTTCTTAATACCTCTTCTAGATCTTACTATATGCAATCTGTTCCAGAAGCAAGTACTTGTAGTCTTTCTGTTTGTATCTGAAGTCTACCTCAAGGTTAGAAATCACACAAAAAGAATCCTGTCTACATCTCAATGTTTGTGAAAATGCTAGTTTGACATGTTACTTCTGTGCCTTACAGCTAGCCAAGAACCTAAAGACCTTTGAGTTCATGAATGCTGAGAGCATGCGAGCACAGGTGGACGAGATGATGACAGTCAAGATGGAGGAGTTCACCCCACCAAAGGTCAAAAAGGTCAGAGAGTAGTTTGTTTCTCATTGCCCCAGACAACAGGGAACATTGTTGAAAGTCTTTGAATTTCACGTCTTAAAACCTTTAAAAAAACCTCACGTCTTAAACCCCTCCCCTACCCTCCAGCTTGTAGAGCAGATGATTCGGCAGCACCTTGGGTGGCTTGTCGTCTGGGGAAACATCTTTGGAGCGTTCTTGGGAACCATAGCAGAGGTTGTCGCCATTTTCACATAGCTGGCAGCATCCTGGTGTTGTAACAGAGTAGAAACTGGAGTGAGGACAGCAACCAATGACAGGAAACAGCACAGCAATGACCTCCTGAGCATCTACAGCAACAACCTCTGGAGCAGACAGCAATGATCCCTGGAGCATTGACAGCAATGAAACATGGTTCATTGACAGCATTGACACACAGGGACAACAATGACCTCTGAGTTATTAACAGCAATGACTTCAGGTTCATTGACCCCTGAACATTGTTTGCATCTGAGAAGATCTCAGGCAGCAGCATTGTACAAACATGAGATAAGATAGTATTGAAGGGGATCCTTAAAAAAATGAGATAAAGCATGGCATATTTTACAGACAAGTTACATGTAGCATAGTGCTGTGAGTTATCAATCTTCTGCACATTGTCAAGTGTTACATGTAGGGAAAACTATCTAAGAAATTGGCTTGATTACATGATAGAGTGCTGTTAGATTATTACTCAAATTACTGCAGTTTTTGAAGGCGAAATGTGGCACAAATGAAGTACATTGTACTTTCTTCTTCAGTAAATACCTCAAACGTCTTTAACCATATAGATTAGGGTTCTGATCCAACCTTAATTGTTATTTTAACTGCTGTTATAACATTGTTAATAGATCTTAATACCAAACATTTGAAACATACCAAACACTGAAAGAGGAATTCAAAATCACCTCCTTCTTGAAACTTAAGTAGAAATTGATGTATATTAATCTACTAAGAAAGAGTCATTCAAGAATGGATTTTAGAGAATGTTAGACTCACATTGCTGCTTTACCTATTGACATGAAATACAAGTAGAACTTCTATGTATCAGGATATTGGAATTCTGTAGCAGGGAACATATGTATATACTGTAAGAATAGGAATATCTAACAGAGTTTATTTTACCTGTAAATACGTCACTAGAACAGAGAGGTAGTAGGTACTTTTAAAGTAGTGGTCTTAGCTGTCGTTGTCAGTGTTAGATATGTTGTATTCAACACTTTCTGTAATCGTCAATGGATCATTTTTGTTAACAGTAAGCCTTTCTCCCTCTCCCATAATCCAGTAAGAGACAGCCTAGCTGTCCAGCTGTACGGTACAGATTTGTACTTTAAACACACATTACTGGTATGGCCTGCCTGGTGAGAAAAGATTTGACCATGTTACAATACATTAGTCTGAGGACAAATGTCCTTATGACTGCCAAATGCAACATGGTGGAAGGTTAGTGAAAGTGATCCATCTTTAGATATTTTTAACACATTAAGTTGACTGTTGTTAAACTTGCACCATTAACGAAGTTGACTCATTGTTTAACCAGCCATTAGCATGCAACTTGCAACTCTAAAACTTGTACCATGTCACAATCAGATACACCATGCAAAAGGGTCTGACCCAATATTGAAGCACAAATGGGTGAGTAGTACAGTCTCTTGGCTCCCGTGATTCTAACCAGCACAGAACAAGGGTTGCCAACCCACAAACCCAATGCACTAACCACAAGGCTAAAAGGTCCAGACCTGTTGGACTGGTCCAAAATATCTTTATGAATAAAAATACTAACCCATGCTTGACTACCGCAGTGATAGATGTGTAAATTTGTTGTTGCCAACCTTACACTGTGTCCTAAAACTGGTGTTGCAACACAGCCCTGTTACTACTGATGTAGACAAGGTGTACGTATAGGTATTAAAGACACTGTCAGCAGTTTTCACTTCATAACAAGCCAAGTTTTAGAACTGTTGAGCCAGTATACAATATAGTTTGAGGATATTGTGAGATGCAGCATTGCTCTACGTATTGTGCGTCATAATTTTGACATTGACTGTAGCACATTCATTAGTTTAGATATGTGAGTATACATATTGTTTCTTCCAATGGGTAACAAGTGGGTGTACTGAGGATGTGTACATGATTAGGCTTATAGAATGTACTGGTAAGTTTGATGTTTATACACAGGAATTGGTAGAATATAATTACATCATTACGTACTAAGTAAAAGTCTTGTGTTGCTGTTGTTTTAAGTCAGGTTGCACTGAATAATAAATGGTTATTTTTTTATAATCGCACTCGCGTTTGACTTTAAGGCAGAATTACTAGTACCCTCTCCTCGCACACACGCACGCACACATACACACACACACACACACACACACACAAACCAAGAAAGTCCTTGATCAAACACGTGACATCTTCCACTGACAACCAATGTGAGTGTTGTCCATTTCTTTTCCTGTAATAAAATGTTACATTGCTGAACATTTCATACATAATACCAGCATCTACATTCCCTCATATAGTTAACATTTGTGAGACCACACCAATTAAATCCCGTTAATCATAGTATCTGTTACAGATAATGAAATGTGTTCTTCAAGAGTTCTAAGTTTTAAAACTCTATGTTTTTTCACACTTTCAAATCTTTTAACATCTTAACCATTTCTGGACTAAATCCAAGAAACAACTAATATATGTGCTACACATGTAGCACTTTACATATGACAAGCTTTAAAAAAATACAGTATATCATAGTGATGAAAACAAAATCTGTAACAGTCTAAAAATTGCCATGCAACAAAAATAGCTTTTGCACAAATCCCATGTACTTCTGTACTTCCTTACATAATGACACCAAGAGTTACCAGGAGCAAACACACTACCACATACTCATACAAATACTTGATATGGTGATGAAGGTTAAACATCCAGGTACAACTTTCCTTATTTGAAGTTAATCAAGCGACTGGATAAATTCTCAAAGAGTCAGACATTTCTTGATAGCATCCACTATCTTTCATCAAAGAGGTCATTCTCGGTCACTGATGTAACTTTTGTAAGATTGTGGATCCTATCTGAAGCATATCTCTTTATAGAATTCATCTACCCGGTAGTTGCTTGATATATTTTGTATCAAAATATACCGTGGGCTTTAATACACAATTGTGTGTGTAAACATACACCCAGATATACATGCACATTTCTCAAGACACATACATAAGACTTAGGGCTTATTTTCTGAACACAATACATGGAGACATTATCTATTGCTCACTTGCATACAAGTTACGTACACATTAGTACCCACCCATTAGTAATAAATATATTTTCTACCTTCGTAAGAAATAAAAGTCATAAAAAAACTCAACCTAATAAAATTTTGTACAAGACACAAGGCACACATTTGCTACACATCTGAGCTAAAAAAACTCTGCCATTTTAAAAATGGTCGCATTGTTGGTACAAGTATTTATATATAACATCTAAGAACCATTACAGATCTTAAAAGTATGAGTTCTTCAATGATAGAACATCGCTTCCTTGGGTAAGTCAGATTACTAATACTCTATCACCAAGTCAGTGATACCACATTACAGTTTTATGTATACCATGTACACATACATTTCACATTAAATCTTACATATGAATACTAGTACATATACATATATAAATCTCAACTCACTGTTGGCCCCACCATAACCACCCACTTGGAAAAATGAGACTAACTCTTTTGTTTTGTTCAGACTTGCTCCTTCTCCCTGCTGCCTAACTCTGTAATACAATTTGGTGCAAAAAGGCTACATCAGTAGGGAGAAGATCAATGGACTTTTCCTTCACCATACTGATGATGCAAGCAGTTTCCTCGCAACAAAATAGAGCACTTATCTTTCTACACAACTACAATATACATAGCGTTCCTCTATATATCTACAGGTAGTTGTTCACCATGGCTTTGTAAAGAGTGTGGATGCAGTTGTTGTAGTTGTTCTGAGGCTTTGATGAACAGGGAAGAGTTACTGTTGCCCTCCCTCCCCGCCTTGCCCTCCCTCCCCGTCCTCCCCTCGTGCCATGGCGCCCATCGCTCCCGTCATCCCCCCGGACCCGTATCGCTCCGGGGACTGCTGCGCGGCGGCGTGCGTGTAGAGCTGTCGAGCGCGTGCTTCAATGGCGGCCTTGCGTTTCTCCAGCTCTGCGCGGAACAGGAAGCAGCTGGGCATGCGGATGGTGCAGCAGTTCATGTTCTTCTGGTCGGTGGGGAAGTCTCGCATCACACAGTGCCACGTCTGCGTGGGGATACGGAACTCACGGACACTGTTGTACTGATGACCTGCGGAGAGTCCCAGGATACACGTTCAAGTCAAACATTATTTTATCTTATTTATTTACCTTCTTCACATTTGCTTTTTGAGGATTGGACAGAAATCACAATGCTCATGAAAAGCCCTCTCTCCCAAAGAACATAAATGTAACAGTAATATACAATAGAAATCATACCGGTAGTACAATAAAGACAATAAGATGTACAAAACAGTAAAACAATCAAAATGAGATGAGTTGGTGTACATTATACAATTAAATTTTTTCATTGTTGTTTTAATGCTAGTGGTCTAACAAGGATATAGGACTTAGTACGTTGATGACTGAAGTAGTACTTACCCACATCCAAGTCTCCCACCACATACACGCTGCTGCCTATGGTAATGGCAGAGTTGACTATGGATGACCCTGTCATGGTGCACATGGTGTTGGTGCTAACCTTGAACCACCTGAAGACAACAACAGCATTTTAGTCCAAATGAGTCAGCTCTTTCAGAAATAAAAAGCAACAAAAACAACACAATCAACCCTCTATGAATTTCAATTCAATGCTGATGTCATCATGAGTGGATCATACATCTGAAGAAGGTTGATGAGATCAACCGAAACAATTTAGGGTGAGTAATCCTTTCTTGTGAAGGAACAAAGTTTAAACTCTACAACATCTATAAGTTGTCTCTGAGTCATGTATTTTGTTGATGCCTACAGGGTGGTGTCAATAGTCCTTGTCCTGCTAACTTGTGGCAGTTACTGCACAAACTCACCTCCCCGCAGCCTCGCTGTACACCTCTCCTCCGCAGAACTTGATCTCCTGGTGTACGGAGCTGGGACACTCCAGCTTCCGGAACCCCCCGACGACGTACAGCTCGTTCCCGAGGGTTCCGGTAGCACAGGCGTGGAAGCGGCGCTCCTCCAGGGGACTGACTGAGCTCCAGAGCTGAGTTTTGGGGCTGTAGCATTCCACAGACTCATAGAGCTTCCCTACTCTCCCACCACCTGGAAGGGAAGAGGACAGAGGTTCAGGGACCAACAGATATGTAAAGAACTTTATCCACTTTTCTTACAGCACTGTCTGCATAATTTTCAGAAGCTGTACATTAGGTCAGGTTACTGTAATTCCTGATTTTTTCACGGTACTTTTATGTTTGCAGTTTGCATGGTTACTTCTGTACTGCAAAGTTATCATTACAGTTAACAAATAATTTGCTTTCTTTTTCTGCACCTGCCACCACTGTGAACATATAGTTCCTCGAACACCTGCATTTTCTCAGACTGTGAACTTTTGCTACCATGAATATTGAGTGATTACAGTATGACAGTATGACTTTTTTTCCAATGCATTGCAATACATGATTGAATTTACAACATAAATGAATCATGACAAAGTACTAGGGAAAAACAGTTTGCCCTTCAGGTTATGCATTAGATGTGACCTACCAATAGCATAGATCTTCTTGTTACATGTGGCATAACAGGCCAGTTTGCGAGGTGCGGTCATGTTCACGTCAGGTATCCATTGGTCTAAGAAGATGTCGTAATGCTCCATGGTGTCGAGGACCTGGCCCTGCGGGAGAAAGTTGTTCATACCATGAAGCACATAACCCATGGAACAAAACAGCACATGAGTTGGATAGGAGCTGGTGTGTTGTGCCGAATGGGGGTTATACCAGCTACCATTATACAGCAGATACAGAAGTTTGATACTGGATGTTAACTTTAATATACACAGTAGTTTTGAAACATGCAATATCTGGCTTCTCACAGAACATAAGATGTTTCAAAACCATTGTTAGTGAAGTTTAGATATTAACAAGAAATTTTCCAGATCACAGCAGTAGGAATGATTATCACGTACAAAGTCTCCCTCGCCTCCCACGGCGTATAGCGTGCAGCCGATCGCCACCAGGCCGAAGGAGTGTCTGGCCTCCAGCATGGGCGCAACCTCCTTCCACTCGTTCCTCCCTGGGTCATACCTCTCCCCACTGGACAGCACCTGACCATCCTGGGCTATCCCTCCATACACAAAGATGTAGCCACCTAGTAGATCAGGCACAAACTGCATGTCAGTGGTCTCCAAACCTCAACATACACGGGTTAAAGAGCTATACATGTACAATCAGGTTAGAACACCTGAACACTGGAATTGGTGACTCATGCCACAGTTTGCAAAATTGCAGTTTCCATAATTACAAGTTTCTGTTTTAACCTGAAAATTTTACCTGAAAACTACAGGCTGTGTGTGGGCATTTTGTGCCCTCATGACCATAATAATGGTGCTTCAAAGGAACACAAAGGCACAAAGTTACTAAAATCATTCTACAGCCATCTTGTCACTTCTCTGTGTTCTAAAGATACATTATGTCTGTATCATGTGCTTTCTTCCAGCATGAAATGCTGGACACCCAAACATGCAGAGTACTATACTTATATCCTGACCGGCTGCACAGACAGCATGGTCCTTCCTGGCTGTGAGGAGAGGAGCAAGGTCTATCCACACAGACAGGTGTTGTCTCTGGGCCGTGGGCGCACACACCGCACCGTGTCCAGAACCTTGTCCTTATTCCTGTGACAGGAAACAGCCATGTGGACAAAACATCAATTTTGTGGTCACTGGTCATGTTTTGAAAACACCACAGGAAGCCTATCATAGTCAAATATTCTAAGAAGTTAAAATGCCATCATTTTTCTTTAGGGTATGGAAATGTACTGATTGAAGTAGATCATCTGAAACAGGACAGTACAATTCACGCATTGTGGTGTTACCTGCGACTTTCTCCCCCGATAGCAACGATGACGTCCATGTATCCTCTAGGTCGTGTGGAGTTCCAGCTTTGCTCCTCAGATTTGGGCTGCATGTGTTCCAGTAACATGGTCTGTACCGGACCAATGTCTATCACCAGCTCGTGCTTGGCAATCCTCTCCTCGATGTAGCGTGCCTCTAACGTCTCCAACCACAGGCTGGACAGCAGCTGCTGCAGGTGCTCCTGCCGGCTCTCCGGCTTGTGTTCCAGCCATTTCAGCACGCACTCCACGATGTCCTGCTCGTTGCGTACGTTCAGTTTGTCATGCTCCAGGATCTCCAGCAGCTGCTCGAACGTCAGCTCCAGAAACTCCTCCGTGAACATGACCTGGTGAAAGGACATCTCCATGTACTCGGTGGCGAAAAATTGGATCTCGGGACAGTTGAAGAGTTCGGCAAAGTTGCGGATCCCCAGACAGTTCTCTGGACTGATGACCTGCTCCAGGAACTCACAGCACAGTTCCTTCAGATCTGTCATGAGGAGAATGTCTGCGGCTTGGAGAATGTCTTGGACGTTGTCTTCACTGATATCAATCTTCCCCGTGTAGATGTACTCCACAATTTGTTCAAAAACAGATGCCGTGAGGCTCTCTGCCTCGATCTGTAATGGCTTGTCCCCAACTTGTCCCTGCCCCTTGCTGTAATCAAATAAGGCCCTGCAGAAACAGAAACATAACCGATATAGACCAGTCCACGACATTGAGAAAAGTACTAGAAGTCAGTGCTATGCAAGATTTCTACCGATTTCCACACTTGTTCTGAAATTGAACCCAAGCTGATGAAGCCAAATTTTTCTGCAATGATATTTTCAAGCAAGGTTTCATCTACACATCCGTGTCCATAATATCACCATAGTCCATAATATCGCCACCTTGAGAAATAGTGTGCTTAAAGATATTTTTACTGCAACATACCCTACGTATGTACATTTGACGTGTGCAGGAGTGCATACCAAAAGTATGTTGCAGTAAAAATATCTTTAGGCACACTATTTCTCAAGGTGGTGATATTATGGACCCTGGTGATATTATGGACACAGATGTTACATGTATTTTCCTATATAATTTCATTTATCAAAGATAAAATTTTTTATTACACCATAGCATCTAAGTTCTACAATACAAACGATACATTCCACAATTGTCTGGGTCTGGCCTGAGTGGACATATACTGACCCCTGGTAGCTATGTCAACATTACAAGTGTCATTTATATTCATGAATGTGTCCTCTTTAGATCTAATCTTGTAACTAATTGCACCAATTTTTTCAGTGAAGAAAATATGAGCCAGGATGGATTGATAAACATCTACAATACTTCCCCTTATCTCATAACATCTCCGGATATATCATTACTGGTACATGTTTAGTCATCCTATGGCCTGGGGGCTATATTACCGGTAGTATAAACTAATGTTACTGCCTGCCAAACAACCAAGCAGTGACTGATTGTCAACCAAACTCTGTAAAAATGTATAAATGCAAAACCAAACATGGAAATGTAACGTTACTCTCTTATATGTTAAACTGCTGATTTTGATTTGACAGCCAGGATTAATCTATTAGTGATTATTGATGAGTGTAACAATACCAATTGTTAACCAGTCTGAACCACCATGGTGATACAGATGTATTGTCACGTAATCGTGACAAACAAGCTTAAGTCCTGTGGCAATGACACTCCTGAGGGTATAATGATAAGTCTACATTTTTCAAGCTTGAGTTGATAGCAATGAGCCTTAACTCTGATAGTAGATTTTAATCAGACAATATCCTACTGGAAACATCTTCGGGATGGACCATGATACAGCTGGTTTTGGATGCTTTTTTCTGTATGGATCAAAAAGTTGAAAACTGATACATGTACTAGTAAGGTTTGGTATGAATGTATGAAGCTAATCATACACGTGTGAAATATAACAGCCACAAGACAAACGTCAACAACATGGCATACTTAAGATGTCCACCATTCCAACCCAAGTCCGCTCATCTCACGAACACTCAGCAAACGAATTAAGCCTTAATTCAACTTGGGAAAAAGTTAATACATTAATGACCCTGTTGACACATTGTCCATTCGTTGCTGCCTATGCCTGTATGTGTTAGCCCCCTGAATATATTTGTTTTCGATTAGTTAGTCACAACATGGAGGTAAAACCTCCATGGTCACAACCCCCGCCCCCTCCCCCTCGAGATGGCAAATTTTTGACCTAAAACAAAGAAACTTATGGAGAACTGCTGACTCTTTAGCTTTCCTAGTGTGTGGGTTTACACAATATACGACAACGTAATTTTACATGTTGAACAACTTGGTCTATGTTATAAGAGATGACGTAAACTACAATACGCATTTATACGCTGCGCGCCAAGATTCATAAATTTTTTATAACACGCCTCACCTGAAGTAGGTGCTTGCAGCCGACAGCACGATCTTCTGCAGGTAAAACTCCTTCCCGCCCACCATGAGAGTTACGTCGCACATGTGCGGACGGGATCGGAGCTCGTTCATGTTGGCCAGCAGGAATTTGGAGTGCTGAGGCCGATGGAAACATTGTGCTGTCTCCTGAATGGATGATCCACACTCAACTTCCTCCGCCATCTTGGTTATGGATGTTGTGGGACCATTGCGTCATCACAGATCTCTGTCCCAGGGCACTGTGTTACATTAGAACAGGGGAGAATCTGGGGGACAGGTGTGCATTAAATGTTTAAAGGTCTTTAAAGTAACAACAACACTACCTGTCCTTTTACCTCCTAAATTTAAGCGGTCGTGACAATAGGCGGGTAGGAGAAACACTTTGGAACATTAATGAATGTAACATTGCATTAGCAGAGATTAGAAAATTAACGTTAATTAAAATAAATAAAGTAAATGCAGCTATCAAAAAAAAGGAAATGTTGACTATTAAACTTGGGTTAAGGTGTAATTTCTCTGGGAAAATGTTGTGTTACCGATTTCAGTCCTGAAAAATATAGGGTTGGTATTATTCAAGTAGGGATTTTCTTCTTTTATTTTCAGAATTCATGAACATGAGCAAATACAGTTTAACAAAGTGAAATTGAAATGCCTCAGGACCAGGATGTCTTCAGGACCCGTCCCTCCGTGTGCTTGTATGTTTATAGAAATTGCTCCTGAACATGCAGGAATTCAGAGGGTTGGAAATCCTGATGTCAGATCAAGTATTTCCTAGCCTCTTGCCAGCAGTCCATAAAAAAATGCTGGGGCCAGTCGGAAATAAAAAATAAAAAAAAACATCAGTTTTCCTAGGCAGATGTACTTTTTGTATGCCAAACGGTGAACTGAAGTGATGAGATTGAGAGCTTACACATTGATGAGTGGTACAAAATATACTTGTATGTACAGCACAATTACCTGACATTTATGATTAAAACCGCATGGTGACGTTTCAGTACTTAGAAATGGCTCTATACCCTGGGAAGGAGAACGCCAGGGTAATTTGGTTACGTCATCTTGGGTTATTATCCAATCAAATCACCCGGAACTCCATCCGCCGCGATAGCTCAGTTGGGAGAGCGTTAGACTGAAGTCCCGGAGGCCGACACACAGGCCTGTCTAACTGGTGATCTAAAGGTCCCCGGTTCAATCCCGGGTCGCGGCAATTCTTTTACGTGCCGTTTTTCTGAAAAGTATAAAAGTTTTTTTCCTGAAACACCTTTAGCATTTTATTCTTTTCCTATCTATTTTCCTCCCAGGCTGTCTCTGCTGTTTTACCGAACACATATAAAACATACATTCTGACATTGCATTGGTTGAGTAGGGATTATTTTTATGAAGTTTGTTTTATTTCCGTCATTTTTTTTTATCCAGGGGGGTTAACACTGCTTTACAGTGGGGCTCTGCGTCATACATAAATAACAAGTAGAATACATACAGTCACATACAAACAATGGAATTAAGATACAACAAATAATAATAATAATGGTAATGAAAAAAAAAGGTAACGAAATAGTAACAATTTCTAAGCTGTGACTTCTGGAGAAAAAAAAATGATGAAAGCAACGAACGATAACAGATTCCGAACCACACACCCTCGGGGAGGAGGCCCAATCAGCCCCTGACCGCGACAGTGTAGTCTCCACCAGACTCCTTTCAGGCTGAATAAATAGTAGAAATCAGCCTAAAAATTTAAAGGGGATATCATTGACCAGAGGGGTTGGGCCCTCTCTTGGACCCTCTCTGACCGGCCAACTCCTCTGGCCCAAAATATCCCCTTTTTAGGCCCATTTCTACCTGCAAAGGAGTCTGGTGGAGACTAGAGTCTGAGAGATTGTGTCACCCTGGTCACTGGCAGCTCAGACAATTACAAAATGAAACCAGTTACAACATGTCGTGGTGGGTGCCTCCAAAGTTATATGAACAGGATTACCAAGGCTGCTTGCCGAGGCACAGTACATGACCTAGTGACGCATAATCACGGTCTGAGTAGTAACCCTGCCACGGGGAGTCACGACTGGTACTGGAGCCGCGTAATCCAAGCTGGAATGACGTTTGGTTAGTACAATCTACCGCAGGGAACTGTTCCATGTCATGGGAAGCATGCAGGGGTGGATAAGATATCACGGTCAGGTTCATTTTTTGATAGTGAAATTCTGCATACTTTTGGTGATCTTTGAAATTTACCATCGGCGAAGGAATCCGGAAATCCCCTTTGGAAACTTCCTTGTACGATAGTTTGCCAAACCTCGCGCCAACTTGAAATGTGCAGATCAGCCACCAACGTACCTCTAGGAAAAGTTTAGTTTGGCAGCCAGTGTGTTACATCCTGTGGTGAAATTAATCACAACCACTACGGTAAACCCCTCCGTGGATAGGTCATGGTGTACTTTTGACGTCTTAACCGACGACAGACCTTCTGGGTCTTAAAATAGACTACATGTCCGCGAGTCGAGGTCAGGATCTCGCCGCATCCGCTGACGCACCTTCCAGAAATAGACT